TTGAGCCTCGATATGTTATGCTGGGCAGTGGATTTTAATTTTAAATTTCCAAAAAGAACTTTTTGGCGCAATGCTATGAGATTTTCTCTCTTGAAAAAAAGCTCGCTTAGCAAAGCTTGGCCTGTTCTGGAAAGTTGCAAACATAAAATTATATCCTGCCAAGAGATAATGATCCTGCACATGTGTTGCTCCTTCCGCATACGCCCTTACCACTGCCGGGAGTAACCCCTCCCAAATTGACATTCTAGGAGAAGTGCGTGACACCCACCAACCAGAAACCTGTCTCTCATTTTTATTTAAGACCGAGCCCTTGATATTTAATAAATTGCTCACTGCAGTGTGACGAGACATTGGTGATACTCGTTGGGCCCTTTTTGGTCCGAAAACGGGCATCGATTTTTCTCATTTTGTTCTGACATTGGGTATGGTTTCGTTTCAATTCCAAATGAATAAGAACGGTTGGTTTTCACTTGACATCACGAAAATTCAAACTAAAAAACTACCGACCCTACCGAGATTTTACTTTCACGATGCATTAGAGCAGCTGAAAACTAATTTTCATACAAATTTTCGCCTCAAAAGGGTTCTTGGTTTTGTGATAGAGTGCGCCTGAATTTCTAAGCTTTTGGTGACGCGCCATTTACATGACGGCCAAGAGAGCTGTCACCTAGGTTTAAAAAATGACTTTATTTCAGGAAATTTTGCTATCCAGACAGTTCTTGTATTAGAAAAAGTACTACTTTAGTGTTTATGAGTTTCTCGAATAATAAATTCACGCTTTTGTAGCAAAACTCGGTAACAGATGTTTCTGTTGGTTTCCGTCCGCCATGTTGGAGCTCATCCAGGTGTGCACCAGCATGGCGTTTCCATACAAATCTCTATAAGTTTGGGTAAAACATTTCTTCGGACATCTCGTATACGAAAAATTCCTCTGACCCGAATCTTGGCGAGGGTCTTTGTATATTTAACTCCTTTCATTTCCCAGATTCTGGACTTTATCTATTGAACGGTTTTGATTTTTATTTTGATCTATTTTGAATGGCGTGACACTGAAAACCAGCAATAGAAATATGCGAATTCCAAATGCATTTGAAGAAATCTTTTGTCTGCGCTCTGATCTAAGTAATCATCACATTATTTCTGCCTAAAGGCCAGGTCTGAAAACAGATATGGATTTTAGAGGTCTGGTCTGGTCTGAAAACGGGTCAGAAGAAAAAGACATTTTTGGTCTGAAATAGGGTCAGGATTTGGAGAACCGGGCGGCACACCCCCACCAAGAATTCCCAGGAGTACCCCCCGGGTGAAAATTACACTGTAAAAGTTTTTTAATGACCCCTGGAGTTTCACGTCCCGACACATTACACAGATGTTCTATTCTCATATTCGTGACGGATGTGTCACGCCAACTTCACCCTATTGTCATTCATCTCAGGCTTGCCACCAATGTATGACGTTAGCGGTCCCTTACTATGACTGAACTTCCACTCTCCGCTATAAATGGTTAAAGGGTGTTATGGTTGCTTGAAAACGGTCTGATTACTTAGCGTTGAGCACTTAGATCACTGGCAAGGGTCTTACAAGACCATGAATTTTAAAAAAATGCGCTTATGGGGTTAATAATGCGGAAAGGCATTTTCGAGCACAGGTGGCCCAAGGTTTTAGTGGAACCTTTTAGTTCTCTTTATAAAGAGAAAAAAATCCTGATAGAGAACAGGAACCGGAGAGATACCAGTTCATAAAATGGCCATAAGTTAAATATGCTCGATGACCAATCAGGAAAGAAGAAACACACAACTTAAACTTGATTTTTTTTTAATCTTTTAGCATTTGAAGGTTACAAGAACAGGGCACGCAACAATACCAATGGTTACACATTTTGAGCTTGGGCTATCTGTGTTAAGAAGTCAGTGATTTTATAATTCCAGATGAGAGTTCCACACGAAATAAACTGCAACATTTTTAAAAATACTCCTGCGTTTAAGGCAATATATGTTTTCAATTCCTTAAATGCATGTGTTACCATGATTATATTTTTTTAGGATTATTGTATTTGTCAATCATACCTATCACCCACTGTTTTTCAGAATTTTTCAATATTGACCGAAAAATCTATCTAGTTACCAATAATGACTTTATTTTGTTGGCAGTGAGAACTGCGGACCACCTTAAGCCGTTATCGAACAGCCTATTCTTCGAGAGCGCATGCACATGAAATGCTTTGTTCCACGGTATATATGGAAGAAAATGAGGAAATGCACCCATGATGAAGTCTCAAAAGAACCCTGACTTATAATGCATATCAACAATACCGAAAACTCTACAGAAGGTTTTTCCTAATTTAAAGTGAACAAGTTCGAAATTTCAGAACTTGGTCCTCAATATTGTTAGGGTACATTTTTGCTCAGTCTGCTGTATTGTATGCGTTTCTCTTGGTAATAATTAATATTTATGCAGTTTATTCTATATTGGTGTTGCGGTTTCAAATAATTCTAAAAAGGCAGGTTGTACGGTTTAACTCTTAAAATTAGCGTAAATATAGATCTTTATACTACTACATGAGAAATTTCTGCAATTAGATTGGCTTAGAGCAGTGGTATTTCAGCTTAATTTGAAATAGCTACATGTGAATATTACAAACCTTTTGCGGGTAGTATATGTAGTATAAACAAATAATAGCATGATTTGTGCGCGATATTTGGCATAAATACCACTCGTAATATTTCAAAATTATCTTAAATTTCACTCGCCTAAAGGCTCGTGAAATTACCTATAACAATTTCGAAATATCACTCGTGGTATTTATGCCAAATATCGCCACAAATCATGCTATTACCTATACTAACCTGACCTATAATACCTAACCTGACCTTGACAGTAAAGTTTCATTTCTCATGTAGAAGTATAAAGATCTATATTTACGCTAATTTTAAGAGTTAAACACTTTGCGGTCTTACGCTTTTTAGCTCACCCCAACAACGGCATAATTTATTACAGGCAGTACTGAGTGATCAAACCGAAATTTGTACTTAATAATGTAGGCCCGAGCCTACAGGTCTATGGGCTGGCTACACCCCTGCTACCCATTGGTCTTTTAGTAGTTTTTAGACTTAATCTGGACCATTTTTTTATTCCGAGGATAATTCCTTAACTATTTGCATGGAAATGACAATTGAGGGTTCCCTAATTTATGTTAACAAAGGTACAAACACGAGGCTGAAAATGACAAGATAGAGTGTCCTCTCTTGTGTCTGATCCAAGCGTGGATCTTATTTCATTTTGGGTACTCGCTGCAGAGTGGGGTGTGCCAACGCTTAAGTAAACATGTGCTGGGCTTTCAAACCTTACAAAAATTGTTCTAAAATACTTAAGATTAGATTTAAACTTTTCCTTTTTTCTTTTCATTTTGAACGTGTGAAAATAGGTAGACCTGTTAAAATAAAAAAAAAAACAGTTTTGTTAGGAGGACAATTTTTTCAAGCTCATTCATTTTGTTTGTTTGTGCAGTCGTTGAAACCATGTGTGAATGCTGGTTAAGCCTCGACATTGGCTGCAGATTATTCTTATTTCAACAACACGTTTGTTACTGCCTTATATAGAATGTGCTTTGTAAGCAGAGAAGTATTGGGTAATATCCCCTTCTATAAAAGAAAGGTTTAGATTTTAGCATCAAGGTTTGTCTGAAGTTATATATACCCCTCTCCCTCCCCCAGTATTATTTCATAATACCGGTACTGGCCTTGGCGTCCAGAACAAACCCTACGTCAAAGAGACCATTCACGAACCATTTCTAAACCATCTGATTACAAACAGGAGTCTTCTTCTGGATACTAACTTGATTGCGATTCCGAGCTTCTAATGGTTACTATTATTGGAACTAATAGCGGGGAGTGTCTCATTATCCACTTGGGTCTTGAGAGAGATGGGTCTCTAAAACTGAATAGCACATCTCATAAGTCAGAACTGCGGCTCGCGCTGCTAGTCTGCTTTCAGCCTTCACTGACCTTTAAATCAGTCAGTGCCTGAGATAGTTCTTCAACTGTTTTACCGTCAGAGCGTTGACTTAATTCTAAGAGCTAGGGAGATTAAGCAGCCACGACGAAGACAGCCATTTAGTTTAAAAAAACAAAACAAAAGCGTTGCACGTGCATCAAGCTTCTGGTGGAACATGTCTTTGACATCTCCATTAACTACAAGGGTGAAACGTCCTGTAGCAATGTTTTAAGGAGGACAGGAACGCACGGGGAAGAATGGACACCTTTGGGATTGACACTCGGGTGTCTATCATAAAGAGTTTTTTTTTCATCTTATATGTGTACACTAATAAAGGGTTGATTCAGATGTGTAATGTACTGTTTCTAAGGCAAGACCGTTTTGGAACTCGCAGACAGATGTTTGCCTTAGCTTACAAAGAACCGAAAAAAAAAAGTGGAAGATAGGGAACAATTCTAGGTGTTCGTCATCTAGAGGGGTCACTTAACCCTTAAAGTTCCAACAGTATCAGCATCAAACTTTCCTTATCAGTAATATCGACGCTTTATAAAACAAACTGGTGACAAGAATTAAGGACATGATCACTCAAGCTGCATCTAATTGAAACTTCAACAACTTCTTCCTACTATACTTCTTAATGGAAGCATACAAGGGCAACAAATGATAATTTAAAGTTTGATCATAGTTCTTAAAAGAATTTACAGAGAGTTGACGGTGAAACGTTTGGGAATTTGTTTGTTTGCGACCCTGGTCCCGGTGGCATAAAACCTACACTTAAGTGCCCACTTAAGTAGGTCACTTACGAATCCGTTATGGGTACACTTACGTGTGTTGCATGGAACGCACTTAGCACTCTCGTAAGTTTCTGTTTTACTTGGTAACTCACGGGATCACTTGAAGGCACACGTAACTTTGATATAGTACTTCATTAATGACTCACTCTTTTTTTTTAGGCTTACCATCGGTGAGTGTAAAGAAAGTTTTAAGTCGTTTCGAACACTGTTAAGCCTCTCAAAAAAATGAAATTTGCATGCAGACGTTATTTTTCTTCAATATCTACTGAAAATAATAGTTCTTCTTCTTTTATCACATCGTCGGCTTTAAAGTGTACATCAGAGGTTAACAAAGCGCATTAGAAGGAATAACGTGAAGAAAAATACTTTTTTTCACTTCTCAGTAAAAGATCTCCTTAAGTTTAGTAAAAACAGTAACGATACGGGACCTACATCGGTCCTGTAAATTTACGTGCTATTTTTCCCGTAAAAAAGGTTTTATGAAACACCCGCAATTTCTATTGCATAAACGACACTTAAGTGAACACTTACAAAAATCGTAAGTGCAACCACTTAAGTGAATTCCCCAAGTGGACCACTTAAGTAATTTAATGCAACTGACTTAAGTAGTAGTTGTTACGAGCGTTTTATGCAACCGGGCCCTGACCTCCGAATATGTGGCTTCTGGGTTCAAAATTCCGCCCCTGATAACTTGTTGAACTTGTTTGAATGCCCTAAGAGGGATCTATGGGCGTTAGTTCTGTTCCAAAACACTTAAGTTTCCCAAGCGTGTGGTATCCCTCCTCGCTTCTATTACCATGAGAACGAGTGTCTCCAAACTTGAGTTGTATGACTGGAAGACTTGTCTTGTCAGTAAGGAGACCACTGTCCTCACGCCATTCATCATCGTTTTTATCACAGTTGCAAACATAATTCTTATAGCCTGCACATGTGTTGTTCATCCCACATGCGCATTTACCACTGCCGGGAGTAGCCCCTCCCCAATACAACATCTTAGAAAAACTGCGTGACACCCACCATCCAAACTTGTTCTCATTTTTGTTTAAGGCCGATCCTTTACACTCATACTTGATAAACTGTTCACAGTGTGACGAGACATTGGTGAGACTCGTGAGCTGAGACAGACTCGCTCCAGTGTAAGAGATGTCACGTGAGTAGCTGCCTGGACCTTCATAATCCTTCACCAATGTCCTGCTTTCACTGTCATGACTGATGACAGTCACGCCAACGCCATCCTTGTCTTTCATGTCACAAGTCACGTCATACATAGGTGGCAAGCCTCCCTCACCGTCAGGATCAATGACGTAACTTCCACTCGCCGCTAAATGGTCCAATTTTTTAAGATGGCTGCACGATTTTGCTAAAAGGAATTGAATAATTGCATCACAGATCAAGTTGTAGTAATTCTGAAAGCGGCAATCTTTTTCGTATAAAGTAGTCTAGGAAACAACTGCATATTTTTTTTCTTTTTGATAATTGAAAAAATGAATAAATAAACTTTAGTTATACGGCACAGTAATAATTTCGGTCTAATCTAAGAAAGAACATACGACAATGAAATGCTAAGAAACAAATGATAACTATACTGCAATGGTTAAAAAGTTTTATTACTAATATAAATATCTGGATATTTTGTCATGTTAACTACAAAAAAACTTAACAATTAGGACCAATAGAGTTATCGGCTCATGGGACTGAGCCATACCTATCCGGTCGCAAAAACTTCCGATGAATCCTTTATGACATCTGCAACGAAATCCTTTTTTTGTGAATCCAGCTTGACATGTGCCATTGTTCAGACATGGACTACTACTGCAGGGATTCTACGGAAAAGATAGACGAGTTACGGTCACAACGATAGTCCAGGTCCAGTAATGGTAACAATAACAATAACGACCGATGCATTGGTCTCTGATTGGTTTAAATTCCCCAGTTTTTCAATATCAATACAATTGACGTCCCAGTGCAGATCTTTTCAACTTGGACGGAAGATTTTACACGCTATGAGAACATGGAATTGCTATATAAACTACTGGATCACAACAACAAAACCCAAGGAGAATAGACAAAACTAGTACTCCTGGAAAAACATCCGCTTGAATAAACGCCCTTCATATTCTAAAAATGCCATGGATCAGCCAAATGATTTAAAGAGGGAGGCTTTTTACATAGGGGTAATTACGCTTGTAGCTGAAAAATATTTTAAATATGATATTAAGAACTATGTAGATATCGGAGGTTGTTTAAAAACCGCAGAGGCCGCGTCGATCTGCATATTCTTCTTATCATACACAGTCCCATCGAATAAATGCGGATTAATGCCAATAAAACTTGTTTTCTTCCTTTTTCTTTTATTATATCAGGCATCCAGATCTACAAAATGAATAAAAATGATGATGACGATACATGGAAATAATGCTAGCAGTGATTATCATGATGCTGATGATAGTGATAATGATGACGATAACACGAACAATGAAACTAAAAGTGACAATGATGCTAATAATGATGATGTTGGTTCTCTATTTTTGTTTCTATAAACTAGCAAATTTACGGAAATAACGAAATTCTCCGATTATCCTAAGTATTTTAGTCATAATTCCATCACTTTAGAATATAACTGGTTTTACCTCGATTGCCAGATAAGTGTGGGCAGCTTTGTACTTTAGTGCAGCAGCAAATTCATTTTCACCAGTGGCATTATTCAGTTCACATATGGTTTTACCACCTATTGATAACCCCATATTTATGGACACGCAATTGGGCTCCATATAACACTTCACTCGACAGCTCCCTTCGTTAAGCACCTCTTCCCTGCTGATTAAGTGGCCCTTCATGACTGTGTTGAGTGTTGGTTCCTTGAACATAATAATGCGGCATTCCTCCGCAGCTGGTATAAATAGACAGTATATATTATGGCCCGTTTGAAAAACATTAAAAGTGAAAAACAAAATGTGATCAAAACGGCGCCTTTGATAGCTAATGGAGGATATAGTGATTTCTTTCACAAAAGTTCCTTTAGGTTTTAAAAATGTTATCTTATATGACTTTGTTATTTATTAATGAATGTTTATTAAATATATCGCGCTTCAGTTGTTTTAAAGGATAAAAATTGACTGTTCACAGTCCTCTATTTTTCCGTAAGATCATCGAGATCGAGAGCTTTGCGTTACGGGCTACCCATCTTGCATGAGTGTCTCCCCCTCGATACATTTGAAAATCAAGATAGACGTGACGGTAAGAAGCGGTGTATCTAAACGATCTCACGAAAAAATAGGGGACTGTGAACGGTCTAGAAATGAAACGGCTATACGCTCTAGTTGCATTAGTCCACCCTAAAACTGTTTTTACCCACATGAAGATTCATTAGATTAGTCAGTCTAAAGATTTCGTCGTCGATAAATGCAGCGCGGAGCGACATTAATATCAAGCACAATGGAACAAATTGTACTTAAGAGCATAAATTTCTTTATAAAGCGTCGACCGTTTTCCAAATAGTAGCGATTTCGAGCTCCCATTTTCCCTCCAGTTTTAAACACATCAATTTTTACAAGTTATAATTTGGTGTGATAAGTTGATCGTTTTTCTTTTCTTTTCGCCGCTACTTTGTCCAAAGTCACTAAACATTGCACTTTTTATCGACAGTAAGAGAGAAAACGCCTCTAAACCATCCACTATTATTAAAAACTGAATAATTGGATAATGCAACTCTAGAGCTCTGATTGGCTTAGTCATCATGGTATATGAACCATGCTCTCCAAACGGGCAACTGTACTCGTCTGTTCAAAATTTAAAAACAAGCTGAAAATCGGTTGTTTTACAAATAAAGTCGGGAAGAATTTTCGATATTTTGTGGGCGTTTCTAATAAAACAATTATTCCACTCTTGCTTGGGAGTATAAGATAATTTTAGCCCACTCGGTTCTACGCACCTTGTGGGCTGGAATAATTGTTAAATATCAGTGATATGCAAGATACTTATTAAGCTGTTCAAAGGATGGCTTTCCGAGCAACGGAGAGTTTTTTAAATTTGCATGGTGAAAAGAAAGCATTGAAGTGAAGATTTTTAACTCGAACGTTTATACGAGTTTTTAAAACAAATCGAGTCAAAATTCAATTTCTACTTGCATTCGATATACTGTCTGCCGTTAGTTCACCTGCTAAATTGTTAATGAAGGGTTTGTTTTCAGAAACGCTCGAAGCTCGGATATTAATTTTAAACTGGTTTGCACTGGGAATGAGATAAAAGTCTTTCTCACCTAAACTTCTTGAATATTGAATTGCAAGGGAAAAGCAAACGACGAAAACAACATATGAAGTTCCGTTTGCCAGCTTTCCGACCAAAACAGCCATTATTAATATTCTTTGGTCCGCACAAATTTAAAGTGGTCGTTTAAGCGTCTATAATTTGACGTATGTTAGAACTGTTAAGGCAAATAAACAAAGCGCGATTGGTTTAGGTGCGGCATTATTAAATACTGGGTCACATCGACCGGCGAGTTTGGAAATTAATCTTTCCTATTGAAATAATAAAAAATGATGTGTATAGTTTTGTTAGCAAACTCATTTAATCTCAAGGAAACATCTACTTTCAAATAAAGCCGTTTTAAGTATCACTAACTTCCATAAAGTCGTAGCTGATAAATGTTAAACTTATAGTACTGTAGCAGCTTCTATAACTTTAAAGCAATTTTTCACTTATAAATTTATCACCTCGTTTTATCATTTTTAATTACAAATGGATTTAAATTTCTCGTGCTCACAGCCAATCTCGTGCCAAGATAACCTCTGGCCAAGGAAAACCATGTAGCCAGGAATATTGTTTTCGTCTATTGAAGGACTAATTTCAGTCCCAAGATATTTACTTGTCAACCAACAGGACTGACATAATAACTATTTTAATTTAAACGTTTGCTTTTTTAAAAAGCAGGTGGTACGGTACGGTGTATAAGTCTATGTTAACACTGCTTTGTGAGATGCGCCAAAGGTTCTAGAACATCGACATCAAACCGTTCATAATCAGTGCATTTTAGCTCATTTACTAGAACATAAAAAATCATTTTTCTTGGAATGATAGGTAATATTTGCATTGCTTAAATTTGACTCATCAGTACTGTACTGCGTTAAACATTCGAAGGAAATGAAAGATTAGGCTTTTGTTTAGTTGATTGTAGGTGAAGGAAGCAGGTGGAACCACTGAGTGTTAACAATTCAAAATTAAAGTGTGCAATGTAACCTTGAAGAGACAGTGGTCACTAACTGGTCGTTTATAACTTCTATTGTAATCTAGCCGAATTTTACGGCTGATAATAGGTATGATCCCTCATGTCATAAGAGAAATTTTAAGATTCATGTTTACGGTAATTACCGGCACGTCAACTTCATGTGTCATGTGACCTAGTTTCCCCTCATCTACTCTTTATTATATGTACAAAAAAAATCTTTTTTCTTCTTTTGTGTATAGGTTTTTCACAAGATTTTAATAAAGTTGTTGATTATTTTTTTAAAAAATCATTAATTTCATGTCAGGTTCATCCAAAAAAAATATTTAGGACACTTTTTTGCTGCTCATCTCCTAGTTTAAGAAATTGCCAACTTGAATTTCGCGTTTGCCATTTGCATGTTATTTAACTTGATGCTAAATCTGACTCTTTATTGACTATTTTCGAATCCCCCATAATATACTATAGATCTATTTGACCCCGCAAGTTTTGAATAAGTAATTGTTTTCAAATACAGTGAAACCTCTATTACGCGGACCCCAGTTCAGCGGACACCTCTATTAAGCGGACGCGGACACTAAAATAAGTTGTATTTGGCTAATTTCCATTGTTAAAAAGAAACCTCTATTAAGCGGACACCGGAAAGAATTGACAATAGTAGTATTAGATTACGTCCTTGAATACGTACTGAAGTTTGGTAATGAAAGGTAATGAACTTGAACTCTGGATAGCTTCTTTAACAACATGCAACTTTATCACAGTACAGAGTAACAGTTGAATGTTGATCGTTAACAAACATTGCGCAATTTTTACAACCTCTATTAAGCGGACACTTGGGAAGGTCCCGAGGGTGTCCACTTAATAGAGGTTTCACTGTGCCCTTGAAATATGCAGTCCGTCAAAAGAAATTTAAAAACAATGGTTTAAGGAAAATTGGGGGGAGGGGGCAAAAAGCGTGTATTATGGGGGATTTTAAATGATTTTAAGAATCTGAATGCAATTGAGCGTCTTCACGATGGCCATATTGGTGTCCCAAAACAATGGAACTGCGGCCATGTTGGTGTTTCAATCCAATCCTGTGGGAGTTGAGCTATTTTCTTATGTAAACGCTTTTCTTTGTGGTGCGGCCGGGGCTTTCCAACCCTGACTCCGTTTGAGACGAAAGTTTTAATTTTAGTACCACGCCTTATTTGTAACCTTTAAAGAGGAAATTAAATATTTACAAATATCACCACCTCTTCAACGCTAGGAAAAATTCTTCGTTAGATTAACTACCGCCGCCTGGTTAGCTCAGGTGTGAGAGCACCGGTTTGCTGAGTGGGATGTCGCCGGTTTCAAACGCCGGCCAGACCAGCACTCAGGGAAAGTGCTACCTTTGTAATGACATCTGCAAACGGTTAGACTTTCTAGTCTTCTCGGATAAGGACGAAAAACCGTAGGTCCGTCTCACGTACAGCTCTTTGGATCTTGTGGGACGTAGAAAAAACCACACCCCTGTTCGAAAAGAGTAGGGGACGTAAGACCCCGATGGTGTCGCTAACATTTCCTGGAGGCTTAATATAAGGAGGCTTAATATAAGGATAACTTCATGATTCTCCATCGGGTGTCGTAATGGCGACCTGTAAACAGTGAAAATGTCACTGTTGATTTACTGAAAAAAAGAAAAAGCTCAAATTTTAAAAATTAAATTATGACATATCCTTAATTTCCTTGAAACCATAACCTTTCTCTGTCATAAACTGTCACTCAAGCAGAAACACTTTGTCGCTTTGTCCAGCTGAATTTGGTTAATAATTGCCTAGTTTAAAAAGAAAGACCTTCACGAGCACGTAAATCTATTCATTATTGGTTTGTGCTAGTTTATTTTTCCAGGTGTTACTTTTAATAAAAACGTTTTATGAAATTTGTTTAAACATGATGTAGATGTATACACACGACTGTTTATCCTTTTGTCGAGAACTTGCCCAAATTGCAGTAGGGACAGTTACTGGAAATTCCAAATAAAAATGAGAAATCTTTTTTCACCAGCTAAATGGTGGTTCGCCATGCCCACACACGCATTTTAAGGGCCAACACGCTGTTGTCTTAAAACTCGTGATGCGCACGCATTAACTAAAATAAATTCTAAAAACTCAGAGGAATCCGATCCCGATTCTGTCAATAAAAATCTGCCAAATTCGGTGTAACCCGATCAATTAAAAGGAACATTGGCCTGCGTGTAATGCAAACATTTGTTGATGCTGTTTCATGATGCAGCAGCTTCCTAAAAAGGTTTAACAAGAGGTTAAATTGATGTCTTAAAAATGAGTCAAATTCTCTTGCTTCTCGTTTATCCCTCGGTACTATTTTATTCCTTGAAGGTCACGGGACTTTCGTGTCGACAAGAGAGATCCAAACGTGGGTTTGCTCTCTTCTACAAAAACTACAGTTCTAGCTTCAAAGATGACAGTCCCGAATGCGTTAGTTTGTGTGTTAATGATCCAAACTGCATGAGTTTGAATTACTGGCTAAACTCGAAGCAGTGCGAACTTAACACTCACTCGCGAGAAACTTGCCCAGCCTGTTTTATGCAAGCATCTTCCATCTACATGGGAATGGCTAGATATCCAGGTAAGGCTGAAGATTAGTATATACTTTGAAGACAGAGCTGATTGCATTCATGTGGGCAATAATTGACAGGGACTAAGCTTACGGTAGGTGATGTCAAAACGATCACCCTAAACAACCAGAAAATATCAACCTTTTCAGCACTACTGAATTTAAAAAAGGAACATAAAAAAGTCACTAAGTGAAAGAATCAAATTTGAATATACTTATACTGACAGGTGCTAACTATGCGTAACTCCTCAAGTTTCTTTTAGAGCGAGAACAATCTGAAAATGCATAATTTGTCCTTTCCTCGAGGAACTAGAGAGGACACATTTTTGTTCTGCTGCCCCAAGTTGTACCGTAAATAGACTGCAAAGCAGCTTTACTTTGGTGTTACGCAAGCTCTTGTCGAACGAAAGAACTGAAGCGAGAGTGAAACAAAGCCTAAGCTTCGGCCTTGCGAATAGACCTTGTAACGGTTTTCAACGCCATCTTGACGAGTAGGCAAACGCGTGAGAAATTATGTATCGGTCAAATCGAAGCTTCAACATGCCCTTCCCCACCCCCCCCGGGCAAACCCCCCGGGCCTTTGACTTTTTTGAAAATTATTGTTCAAATTCCCCCCTACCCGGGCGA